AGGTAGCCGAAGGTAGCCGAAGGTAGGCCAGGGTAGGCCAGAGAGGTCCAGGGTAGGCCAGGGTAGGCCAGGGTAGGCCAGGGTAGGCCAGGGTAGGCCAGGGTAGGCCAGGGTAGGCCAGGCGATCCTCCCAGTTTGGGAGCTCGCGACGAACTGAGCTCTGTGCTGTCAAGACCGTCCTTATATAGTCAAAGATCCCCACCATAGTGCCGACCTCCTTGATGTCAACATTACAAACAATTCCTTGTTTCACCGTTTGCACTCGACGATATTATAGGAACCTTGATGTTTTCATTAACTTCGCCAGCCCCGCGATGGTGGGGGTTGTTTAGTCTATTATTTAATTGTTAATCCTACGTTAATGTAACATTTTACATATGTATAACACAAATCCAAAGTAAAACTACAAAATCTAATTCCTTATTTTTTTCCATAAATTATAAATTACAGTATGATTGATGTTTAACAATATTTCAATACAATCACCGACGCTCATGTTTTTTGTAGCTGAAATTTAGCCGGCGTACAATATGTTAATAAATTTTCTACAATTTCGCAGCCATTAGCCTAGCACCATCCTCGATACGAATTACGTTATCGGCGATGCTGCTGATTTCCAGGTCCACCACGTGGAGGTTGCTGCGTGGGACCCTGGGAGGTGGGTGGAAATTCAATTCCACCGACCTCCCGTTCTAATTCTAAATCTTATCTTTAACGCATTTATATCTATCGTTCTTAATATTATAATATGTATGCCTATCTATGTATGCCTTGTAACAATGCATTGTTTAACAGTTTTTGCTCGATAAAATTATAGGAACTTTGATTTCTTTTATCAACGAATATTAACGGACTAGAACTATTCAGGCCATTTGCGCATGTACATTTTTTAGTCTTACGTTAGAAATTATACATAAAACACTTGGATATATAATTATAAATCTAAAACATGACGTTCTTAAGGCTACAACATTTTACATGACTTTTTATCTTCCCACTCTGTTACCTCTGCTGATTACTCAATTCTAAAAAGCTTGAATTATCTTAAAATTATAAAATAATTTCTTACATTAGTGGTGTTCGAATTTTAAAAAGCACTAATGTCGATACTGCAGTTCAACTTGTTGCGCGAATTTTGTGCTGGATAAAGAGGGCGCCATAATCCTTGTATTATTGGCGGTCGATAAGTCAGGTTGTCTTGGGTAACAAATGTTCGTAAGATAATTGTACTTGGTGGATAATTAGAATATTCAATTAGAACCCTTATTTCACCGACAATTATTTATTACAAGTTCATCTGCATTTGTAAAATGCAATCCATGACTATAAAATGCTTCTATTAAAGGACACCTCGTGCCTAAACTTGCTACTAACAAGTGAGATCAGCTGGTGACAATTCGTATAACGTGTACCAGTTCATTAAAGTGAGCAGTGTCGACGACGTGAAAAATTATAATCAGATTTTGCAGGTTCTCCGCGGTGTAAAAAATAATGGGGCGTATTGTGTACGCTGAAGAACGTCTCCACAATTACTTGACATCGTTAGCGAAACCAGATGAATATACGATAGGACTAATTTTGGGACAGGTTCGATTTTTGTATGTTCCAATTTCACGTCATCTTCCTGTTTTCACTTGCTTAGCATATGCAATTGCTGATCAGAATATGCGCATGTAAATGAAGGAGTTATTATTTAATAACGACTTTCTTAATATTTGTTGTACAATTATTATGCGATGCAATACTTATTCTTTAATTCATGCTTAAAAGTAAAGGGTTAGGATACACAAACATACAGTTGAGGATTAACATTAATGTGATCAATTTTAATTACAGAGCGCTGGTCAAAAAGATTATATTGTACACCTGGCAAAAACTCCACTTCCGCTTGACAAAAATGTTGTGGAGGAAACAGCGATTAGTTCTAAAGCAAACGTCGAACAAACCAATGTTAATAATTATATAAAATCTGTGAAAGATATACCTGAGAGTTGGGTTGCTGATCATGCTAAACATGTATGGTTTTATCACTCATATTTTTATGATAATTCTGTGTAAATTACTGTTATTAGCAAAGATGATAATATAAAATAATATGTTGTAATTTTTTAAAGGTTACCAGGATGTTACCTGGTGGAATGCAAGTTCTTGGAGCATTTATTGTGGGTCCTAATGATGTTATTAATGATAATATAAATGTACAAAAGCTTAGATCTATTTTAATGGCTATACATAAAAACTTATCCCAAAACAAATATCTTTGTGGAAATAATAATGAAGAGCATCTTATTTTAAACTTAAATAGCATAACACAGAAGTATGTATATATATATGTAATGAATTATAATTATTATGTTGTTACTGGCATATATCTGATATTTTCAGATATATATGTAAATCTGTAGAAATCAGTAAGACTGGAATGATAAAACCAGCAGAGTGGAAGTTTCAAGGAAAATCTACAAAATGGCATCAATTAGAGGCTGTTATAGATTTCGACCGTTTATTTCTTATTGCTGCAAATAAAGATCCTGAAACTCTTAAAAAACAATTACAGGTATTACATATAAAGTATATTATTTTAACAGTATATAAACAGAACTAAAAATGTATACAACAAATTTATAGGATATTTTGAAAAGTATGTCAGACACCATTGAATCTTCTTTGATTGCTATTGAAGGAGAAGTAAAATCCCCAAATGATACATTAGACATAATTACTAAAAACAAAAAAGAAGAAAAAGGATGTAAGAATAATGATAAAAATGCTAATGACAAACCAATTCACATTAGCTTATACATTCCATGTGTAAGTATTTGTATCTGCTATAAAATACCATCAGGATATAATTTCTGATTTTGAGCAATATTATTACACATCTTTTTGAAAAGAAATAACTTCTTACTGAAATATATTAAAATTATGTTGTCGCTCGTTAAATAGATGTAACACAGTTTATTTTGTGGATTAATAGCAAGTTAACGATACTAGTTCGAATGTGAGGGTAACTGCTTGCAACGCGTCGATACGTCTGGTTGGGCAGTTAGTAAGTAGAACATTTGTTCATCAAAAAGCAAATGTTGAAGAAGCTAATGCAGCAGTGAAAGAGGATATAATAAGATCACTGGCGAGTAGACTTGAAATGCATTGGGATAGTTTAATCGACGAAGAAAATGGTTCTCCAGAAGGTTCATATTCTTCTTGTAATATAAAATTTTGAACTAATTAAGCATGTCATAAAATTGTGCGATTGCTCCTTTTTCTACAGAAAATATAACATTGCACGAACCTCCAAGAAGAGTGCTGATAGAATTACCAGAAAGCAAAGTAACATTATCAGACTACCTCTTCCCCGGTGAAGGTCCGCAAGAAGCACTTGTATCGCTACAAGAGCTTTTAGATTTAGAAGTTCAAGAAAACACTGTTCAAAAAGATATAGAACTCCAAGTTGGTAAGCATTTAAACGTAAATGTATTATAAATTAAATGTACACTGTAATCATGAAAGATATTACAAATTTGCCGCGCAGATCCTATGGAGTTCTACAGTCAAAGTGAAGTGGATGTGAAACCCGTAGATTTCGGCAAAGATTTATGTGATAATCAACAAAATAAAATTTACATCACAGGTATCAGTATTGCAATTATAATTCTAATAATTGCTATTGTAATACACAAATTATATTGAAACATAAAATTAATATAAAATCAAAATTTATATTTTACTGTAATGATATTACTGTATAAAATGTGTATATTTTCTATATTGTTATGATGCTATTTAAACAAGAGAAAAATATTAACAGACAAAAATAATAAATCATCGAATCACGCTGTTTGTAAATTATTATGTAAAAGTATTATATTAGAAATTACACGTTATACGATGTATACATTGACATTATCATCGCTCAAGAAAAGCAGAAGTATGTTAGAACTTTAATTTTAATATTTTCTGTTGCAATTAAATATTTTTGTACAGGTGTTATTACAATGATTGTAAGACGAGTATCAATAAAAATACCTTTATCTATTAAAGATAACACATAATCTCGGTTTCTCTCAATATGCTAAATATTACATGCATTATGATCGATTTATGCTTAATGTATTTTTGAATAGGTTTTAATATGACTTAACATGTCAAGATATTTTTAACTTGTAGTATATTATCTTATCATAATAACATCTACACAATATATACATTTAGTATCATACACGCATATTATGTACAAAAAGACAGTACTTCCAAAGTCAATATAATGGCATCTCTTAATAGATAAAACAACTAGCAGTGTTCTTTCGTTTCATTTTCAATAATTAATCCTATAAACAATGTCTATGACCTGATTACTCTGAATCAAATGGTGCCATGCAATATAAATACACAAGTTACTGATAAACCAGGCAGTGGTACTTCTATGTTTTAAAATGCTTGGTACAATCCGCATCGCCTTAACAAATCCTTTAAATACTTGAAAAAACTATTACTAAGTTTTATGAAAAACTTTGTATTTACAAAATTCTCTTTACACTGTACATAGCAAATTTAATAAAGAACATAATCCATTTTCTTGTTATCGGTATGAAAAATTAAATGAAATAATACTTCACGTATTTCCAATGCTAATTTACAATAAAATTTGCAAAATTCAACTTTTCTTTTAGAACTCTACCTCTACCTCTGCATCGTAGTTTTGATATACTATTTAAATGCATACAAATGTTTTTTAATGCCTTAATTTGTGCACACATATACATATTAGCTACTTTTCCTCTATCAACAAATTAATGCTTATTCACAATTTCGTTTTATATAGTGATTTAGTTAAGTGCAAATTTTACTCTGATTAGCAAAGAATTTTCTTATTCCCGTATAAGGTACGTTCAAAAATAAGAAATTGAAGTATAATAAATTAAAAAACTCTATACGTAAATTGACATTAAAATGATTAAGTAGTAAAATCTTCCTTGACCCACGTATCTTTCATTTAGTATGTATATCATAATATAATAAATCTTCAAATTTTTCACATTTTTTTTTATACATATCTACTACACTGCGAATAGAATATTCTTATTCCCTAGTTTTAGAATGAAGGAGAAAGGACGTGAATGATTGGAATGGAATCGACAATGCTAAATGTATCATATGAATAGTGCAGATTAAGAGAAACAATGTTTCAATATAATACATCCCCTTAATCAATATAAGTTTATAATAACATACAAATTAGATTTATAAAATGGTTTCATGTATTAAATACCTAACTGTACTATGCATTTTCACAGATACATGTACAATTCTGTAATAAATAACATTCCACCGAAGAAGAGAAGCTACGAATATAATCACGAGCGTTATAACATTTCTATAGATGGGACGTAATTCAAAATTGTAATCAAATTATAATCCATCATATGGTTTATCCTATGTACAATTAAAACGTTATAGACAATTTCATCAACCTGGAACGAACGTTTGATTTTAATTCAAAATCATTTCGAATGCTGATATGATCTGCACTATTCCTTTGATAAGCGTCAGTGACTTTTAAAAGTCTATGGAATCTATCTGGTTAAAAGGTATAAATTCAATCATTATACTGCCCCCATTTTTATAAGACCTGCTTGACTTCCTCTACCCACACTGGCGTCTTCCAACGAATCTAAGTCTAAAGCGGACTCTATCATGGTCGTGTCTTGTAATAATCTAAGTTTAGATGCAGACAAGGGTGTTGTTACAGTTACCGATGGTATAGAGGACGTGTCCAACGTGGAAGTAACCACAACACTCTGTCGGGAAGGCAGCGGGGCGATCTCATCAATATCAATTGGGGCAATATTAAGCGATGCTAGTGGTACTTCATTGGTAACAAGTTGGCTCACGCTGTTAGTGGTACTACCTAAAAAGAAATTAAACTTTCAATGTTTATTCTGTGATTCTGATTGCCTTTGGTGTACATTGTACATAGATTCTGCTTAAAATATGCAGAAATAATAACTTCAATAATCAACGTCCACTGACAAGCCGTTATAAATGCTCTTTAGCGACAGAAACTATTATTGTATTATACAACTCATTGCAAAAGTGCAGTATTCGCAGTGTATCCTTTTCTATGTGAATAATACACTAAAACTAACTTATAAAATTAAAATGTCCCAGTCATTGATGTCATATTAACGTGACTCCTATTTGTACAGGTGTATGAGTAAAATATAAAAATGTAACTGAAATAAATATAGTTGTACAGTGTCCGATACTATAGCAATATAATCCTCAATAAATTACAATATTCCTCTGTAACTTCGCGTTTTGGTGACCCTCTTAGCATCCCATTTTTATTCTTACCATATCATGGAAAACAACGATGAGTGTCAGCGTATGAGAGCAAACATGAAATAGCTCTCATTGCCCTCAATAGTCCTACCGCATTTCCCATGTTTTGCGAAGTTGCGGGGGAATACTGTGTACACGACATTGAGTGCACACACATTTGTGTGTAGGTGGATATGTATGTTTATATGCAAGGATTTCGAAATCCCAGTGACCACAGTGAATACCCATATAATTACAAATTGTTTCAATTAGTCACAATCCATAAACCCTTGAACTTGACATCACGTATTAAAATTAGTTTCATAAAAAAGTGTGGAAAATACATGTCAAATTTAATGTGTTTATTAAAAACTATTAATAAATATCAGTTCATTCTTATTAAGCGTACACACAATGACGGACAGTTGGAATAAAAAAAATCAACTTACCAAACAGTATGCTCTGAGCCCTCGATAACAGGACGTAATTTTAAACAACAAAGAAATACAATTTATTGAATCATGTAGAAATGGAGGAAAATAAAGAACTTAAATTTATCCTATACACTCAAGAATATATACATATATATATATATATATGTGTATATGTATATATATATATATGTACATACTACATTATTCAATATGTATACATATATGTATACAGTTAGACCTATATCCTTTATAACATCAATGCTTATAGCATAAAAGCTTTTGCAACTGAATATGCTTAAAAGACAATTTATCAATTAATTTAAGTACAATATAAAAAGTAAATAATTATATTCATATCTTTTTAATAATTACGTCACT